TGCTGTGATGTCAGGGCGAGCGGGCGGGACTTTCTCACGGGGAGGAGGGGGGGTGTCAGCCAGCGGGAGGGCCCCCCCCCCCCCGGCCTCCCGTCATCATTTCTTGGCTTGGGTGATGCGTAGAGAGAGCCGATATGGGTTTAACCGTTGCGGCCTCCGGAAAAACCAACCATCTCCATCCCCATCTCCATTGTTTAGCTTCAGGGTTGGGGGGCAGGAAAAACCACCGCGCCTAAACCAAGAGGGGCTGGAGGGGAGGGGGGGGAGGTCTGCAGACCAAGCGGCAGAGTCCACGTTGCCTCAGGAGCCCCCCCAAGGATGAGGGTCTTCCTGGAAAGGCAGGAGCAGCATCTCAGAGGGCTTTGGGAGTTGACGGACGTTGATGGCCTGGAGTGCTTTGCAAAGCTGCGAAAGCTTCCTTGGTTCGACCGAGGAGTTTAACTCCTGGGTACCAAGCCTCCCCCCACCCACCCCTGGTCTGTGTCCCCGAAGGGGCTGCCTCATGGTTTTCCTTCCCCTTCATTGCAGAAATACCGGCCAGGACACTCGCCCTGCCAGCTCGAACCCGATGCAGAGACCCCAGCTAGGCCCCAATGTCAGCCTGCCTTTGGAGATGGGCCCAGGGCACCTGGCCGCCAGGTAAAGGCCTGTTTGGAGGACTCGGAGGCCCCTGGGCCCGCTTCTCTCTCTGCACCCACCGCCCCTGGGCTGTTCCCTGATCTGAGTCTCTGCCTTTTAGGGCCCAAACAGCACAGCCAGCGGAGCTGGACGTGGTTCCTGGGAGAGAAAGCTTAGCCAGCTACGAGCACCCGCAGGTAAGGGGGCCGAGGGGAGGGGCAGTTGCCGGGGCGGGCTGGAAACGCAGGCGGTGAGTAAATGTTTCTCTTTCTCTCCAGGCTGCCCTTCAGGCCGTGAGCACCCCTGGCGCCGAGCACAGCAAGCCTCTGGAGAAGGCCGAGGTCCTCTTCGGCCAGGAGCCGGACCCTCGCTTCAGCGAGATGTATAGTGGCATCAGCCCAGGTGTGAGATGGAGGGGAAAGGCCTTTTTCCTGCGATCTCCCTTCCATGGGGGGGGCGGTTTCCAAACTGCGCCTGTATCTAACATCCCCGTTGGGGGTCTCTCGTTCTCTCTCGCAGACCGGACGAAGCCCATTTCAGCCAACTCGGTGCCCACCAGCCAGCCCCTCTTCGCCCCAGGGAACAGTTTCGGGGCTTCCCGCCCGGCTGAGGGCTTCCGGTAAGGCTCTCAAGCCTCCTCATTTCTCCCACGAAGGCTCTTCCCTTTACGACGAAGCAGCCGTTCCGGCAAGGCTGCACCGTCCATTCCCCGAAAGGATGAGAATTTGGGGGGTGTTTGAGGACGGGGCACCCTGGGGGGTCTCCCCTTCAGCGGTTGTGGCCAGGATCTCCCAAGCAGGGTCTTCCTTCCGTTCTGCTCTTCCTTCCCGACAGCAGCAGCAGCAGCCTGGCGCCCCCAGTGAACGTCCTGCAGCCTGGCCGGACGCACTCGACCTCCGCCGGACCCATCCTGGCCCACCTCTCTCGCCATGCCAGCCCCAGTCAGGTCTCCGGAAGCGCCTGGGCTTCGGGATCGCGTCCGCCTTTCGCGGCCCAAGTAATTTTGTCTTCCTTTGGCTGTTCTTTCTTCCTCTGCATCTCCCCCCCCCTTCCCCAAACAGTCTGCCTTAGGATCAAGGGTGAGAACTCCAAGAGCTGCCTCTTCGCCTACTGACCGGTGGCGCCTCTCATTGGCGGGGTTTTTGATTCGGGCTCTTCTTCACCTCTTAGAAAGTTTGGGAAATTCATGGCTTCCTTCCTTTCTCCTTTTTGCTTCTCCTCCAGCCAGCGGCTTCCCAGCCAGTGAAGACTCGCCCCCCGTCGTTTGCCATGGGCAGCTTCCAGGCCACGCCGTCCTCCTTCGGCCCCATGCCGAATCCCGGTTCCGCGGCCTCGCCAGCCGGTGCTCCCTACCCAAACCTTGCCGGTCGGAACGCCCCTTTCGGTAAGTTCCCTGGGCTGCCCGTCAGAGCCGCCAGCTTTGGGCTTTGGCCTCCTTGTAGCTGTGACGCCTTCGTGGTCCAATCATTAAGTGAGCTTCTTTGCAGAGCTGGGAAGGACCCCAGAGGCCATTTAGCTGTGCCTTTCTGACCCAGTTGAAAGTTCAAGATCTTTCCCCCAACACCCACAAGTACATCACATGGTCCAATCTTCCGTTGCCACGAAGACAGAGTCCACCCGTTCACTTCCGGCCAGGTGCAGAGACAAAAGATGGCCTTGACTTTCTAAGAAGAATGTTGTTATGGCTACATATCACCCAACTCTCCACATAATTCCCCCCTTCCCAGTTTCCCACAGTAGAAAGTGTGGCAGGCCTGAAGTCCAGAAAGGAAAGGGCTTGCAGACATGACACTTGGGTCTCTTGTGGGGATCTCCTTCCTGCCGGTCAGCCTTTTCAGGTACACCCGATGAGCTAATTCTCCTTTATAGTACGGCCGCACGAACAAGTTGGAAAGTCCAAGTTTCCACACTGTTTCTTTTACAGCCTGAGAAACTAGGGAGGGTTTCTCCGCCCGTTGTGTAGCAGTGGGCTCGGTCGTCTCTTCTCTAAACGTTCCCATTTCCTTGCTGGATCTTCCCAAGGCCTGTCTTTCTCACTGACTGCTCTCCTTCCTCAGCCGCTGGAGAGAGCGGGCAGAATCCGGCCCCGTTCCAGGCGCGGACGGCGGAAGGAGTCGGCGTTTGGCCACAGTGGCAGAGCTCAGGCGAGTCCCATGTCCAGCAGCAGCAGCAGCAGCCTGCCCAGCCGGAGGTCTTCCCGGTGAGTCAGCTGACCGAGAAGCAATCAAGTGGGGGGGGGGGGAGTGGAAGGGTTGTGCAAGAAGTCCTCGACGTGAGACCATCTGTTTAGCAACGGCTCGAAATCAAAAGACGTTTTCAGAAGACGTTACAATGGTCACACACACACACACACCCCTGAGTCACCAGGCCACAATTCAAGCACTATGACAACCGGTTCACCTTTAGGAAGGTTGCAGTGCCTTGCCATCATAAAAGAGCCGAGGTGGTGCAGTGGTTAAATGCAGCACTGCAGGCTACTTCAGCTGACTGCAGTTCTGCAGTTCGGCTGTTCAAATCTCACCGGCTCAAGGTTGACTCAGCCTTCCGTCCTTCCGAGGTGGGTGAAATGAGGACCCGGATTGTTGTTGGGGGGGCCATATGCTGACTCTGTAAAACCGCTTAGAGAGGGCTGAAAGCCCTATGAAGCGGTATATAAGTCTAACTGCTATTGCTATTGCTATCATGTGATCACAATTGTGACCTTCTAGCTGGATTTGCTTAACAACTGCCATAAAAAACGATCGTAAAATTGGGTCTGATGACTTGCTTAAAGACCGCATCATCTCTCAGCAACCGAAATCCTAGTGGCAGCTGTGGTCGTAAGTCGAGGGATGAGAGCCGGTTAGGAAAACGCAGATCCTTTTTTACAGCTCACCCCCCTGCGTTGGTCTCCTCACCTCTTGGACCCTTCACAAGTTCCCCCAATTTAATCGCAGGCCTTATTTTATTCCGGATTTTGCTGATGGCTCCTCCTTTTTCTTTCTCTTTTGGCTTTCCAGGATATGCTGTCAATGCTGGGGGAACAAGGAACCAACTACAGCAATGAAGAGTTTCCCGAACTGAATATGTTTCCGCCCTTTTCGGAGTAAGCGAGGGAGACGACCTGCCCCCCTGATGGGACATTATTCTGTGTAGCAGCGAGGAGGAGGAGGGGAGGGGGGGTCTCTTCTTCGCTCCCCCTGACTTTTTGCAAAGAGCCCCCAAGTCTTCCTGTGTGTGTGGGGTGGGGGTGGGGAGAAGCCTCATGGGGGAGTCACGAACACAGGCAAACTGAGAGGCTGCATCTCCCCACCAAATCTCTGGGGCTGCCTCCCTGCCAGCCCGCAACGGACGTTACTTTTGGAGACGTATTCAAGCAATCTTAGAAGGAACCGAAGGGGTGTATTTTTTCCCCCCCTTCCCCATCCAACATGGGAAAAGATGCTTGGGAAGGGAAATGGTCAGCAAGGGGTTCGTCCCGCCCCCCCCTCTCCGGTCTTTAATTTTTAATTCTATGGCGTAATCTTTTATACCTACCTTGTATTCTCGTTTATACACGTGGCGGGAGCCGAATTTTGTCAAGAGAGGCTCCTGCTTCGAAGGCGGTTTTGTGACAGGGAGAACTCTACCCCCCCCCCGTGTTTCTTCCCTTGATACGCGTGTCTCTCTTTATCTCTCTCACAAGCAGTATTAATGAAATGTGGGGTGGGTGGGGGTGGCTTGACATCCCCCCCCCCCAATCTCCTCATCCGGTCCTTTTGTTGGTTAACTTGTCTTTCCACACTTCTTTCGGGCCACGTTGTGCTCTGCGCTTGGGAGACTGTGCTGGCACAATCTTCTTCGTAAAAATCCCCCTTTTGGTGGGGGGGTGGCGATTGACAATCATGGTAGACTGCCAAGAGAAAAACGGTCCCTGTTTTAGGAATAATGTCTAGAGCCCCGATTGAGGGAGGGGCTGTCCCATTCTCGGAAATTAGGGAAAGGATGCTGGTTTAATCCTGGAGGCGACCAAGGGAAGCTGGTTGGCATCTTTTCAGCACTGATTGGTTGCTCTCCAACCCGGGCGATTATCATGGGTCGGGGTGCTTTCCGGCGCCCCCTTCCCTCCCCTTCCCGATCTGTGTGAAGCCCTTTTCCTCTTTCCTTGTATGCGCTTCCCCACGGGGACACCTAAAAGCCATAAAAAAAATTGCACAAAGAGCACACGGCGTTTTGTCTTCCTTGAGATTGCCAAACCCCTGTCCTTGCTTTCACCGTCGGAAGCGAAAGGCACAGATTGTCCCTTAAAACCCTTATCAGGTTTTCCGGCCGTCGCCGTGCAGGTTTATTTCCTTTTTTTCATTCCAAAGAAAAGAATATTTTTCTCCTCCCTTCATGGAAAGCTTGTCAATTCCCGCCTCCCCCACCGGCCATACACTCGGGGGAGTGGCAGGCAAACATGTTCTTGAAATGGGCACAATGAGAAACTGCTTTTTTCGGGAAGTCTGGGTGGCTGTAATCCTGTAGCTGAACATGGCTCTGGATTGGAAAAAAAAGAGAGAGCAAACAAGTTCCTAGTCCTCGTTCCATTGGCAGCTAAATTGGCCCCTCTCGTGTCCCTAACAATACTGTAGAGTGCTGGTGGATGGAGAGGTTTGACCAGCCTAGCAGGGCTCGGTTTTCATTTTTCCAAACTGAGGGCATCTTCTCCAGCTGTTTGTTCCTCCTATCCAGCTGCAGCTCCATTATAGCTTTGTGGCAACTTAGAATTTTAAAAGATTGTTCTGCCTGCGGGAGCTTTCCTCCCTCCTCCTGCCAGAGGTAAATTCCTCCACCCTGTGCCATCGCCTCTTTCCGCTCGAAAGACTCGGAAAACCGGGGGGGGACCCGTTGCCAAACTTTGGGAATTTGGAGGGTGTTCGCTTGCAAGCTCGCATTTTGTAGGAAGCATCAGGATGCTGCCAGGCTCTTGAAGTATATGGATGCTCTTGGTCTCTCTTTGCCAAGGCTTATCTGCACTGTTTGCCAAAAAGAAAAAGAAATATAGTTTTTCTCAGCCGGGGAAGAAGAATCAAGTTATGGAAAAGTTGCACTGTTTTGCATTTCCAGAATATCCAGAAGAAGAAAAAAAGGGGGTGGGGGGGCAAAGAGAGAGAGAACAGACATGTGATCAACTGGGTTCAGGATTAAATTCTCCATATGGGGGTTGTGGATGCATTTCTAACTAGTTTCCCTGCCTCAAAATAGGGTAAAGTGGTTCCGATTCAGAAATCGATTTGGAGACCGGCCTCCTTAGAAGAAGAAGCAATCGCAGTTTTCTTGGGTGAATTAAGTCTTAAAAAACCGCATGACTCAGTCACATGTTTTTACTTAATTTTTCTTCTTCTTCCACATCATGTTTTTTTCCTTTAAAAAAAACAAACAAATTCTCGTCTGCCTTAGTCACGCTAGGAAAAACAGCTCAGGATCCTAGGTCACCTTGAAAGCCAACAAGTCTTCAAAAGCACTGTGGTTTTTGTGCCTCGTTGCTCCGTAGAGGAGTGCGAATGTGTAAGTTGGCTTTTCCTGGAGAAAGATTTTAACGCGGCTTTCTTGCAGGTTGGAAGTGTCCGAGAGCGGTTAAAACTTTTCCAGATTTCTTTCTGAAATTGGAGAGGTTTCTATCCCAGATCTTGTGGGAGTGATGAGGCTTAAGATAGGACAAAACCTGCTGAGATTTGACTGGAACAAAATGACCTTTTTTTAAATCCAGAGTTGCAGAAATTGCCAGGAGGAAAGAGCCGAATGGTGTTTTTTTAAATATAGCAATAATAGCAATAACAGTAGACTTATATACCGCTTCATAGGCCTTTTCCCTCTCTAAGCGGTTTACAGAGTCAGCATATCGCCCCCAACAACAATCCGGGTCCT